CAGGGCGGAGGGGCAAGGGGGGCGGAGGAGGAGGTAGCATGAGTGATACACACGGCGAGGTTTCAGGGAAAGCCTCCTGCTCACCAGCCTCTCCCAGAAACTCTTCTGCTGAGGTCCCTGAGACAGCCCCATCCAGGCTCAGCTCTGGACCTGGCTCTGTGGGAGCTCAGGATGGCCTCATAAGCCTCACGTGCAAAGTATGTGAAAGGGTTTTTCCATCACATGCAACTGCAGGAGAACACAGAACACATCTGAGCGGGAACTATGCTAACAGAAGAAGGAGTTTAAGTGCCGAATAAGCAGAACGGATGGGACACACTGCAGGACTGGAATAGCTAAGAGATGGAAATAAGATACACTAGGCCAGAAGTTGAAAAATCGTGGTCCACTGGCTGATTCCAGCCACCTGATAACAGGTGGTTGTCATTGCCCCAGTAGAATTTTAAAAAAATATTTGAGCCAACATTTAAACATTAAAGTTTTACCAAAAAAAGTCCATACTTCTCTTCATAAATTGAAAAGCAGGTCCCATTGGGTTTATTGCCTCCCCTTAAAAATAGGACCAGTGCATCCATAGGACATCCCCACCCACTACTAGTCCCTATAGCTCACCATAAGAACAACCGCCACCCCTTTGTACCCCACTGTATCCCCAGCACTATGCACAGTGCCTGACCCATGCAGGCACTCAATATTTGCTGTGTTCTGAACAGATGGATGTTATAGAATGCTAAAAGGAAGGGGGAGCAGACATCACATGGATAATATCTATGAAGTGGGCCTTAGCAAATGGGTAGAATTGATCTTTTATTTAGAATTGGAGGCCTACTCGCAATACATTATGTATTGGTCAATAGTTAACAAGATATAAGGAAAAAAAATGGTATTCTTGAGGGAACACCAAGCTTTGCCTGACCCTTTATACCAGCTTTTGACCTTAGGGTTCTAGTATGTTCTCAATGTTTATTTAGTCTACAGATGCAAAATGCCTTTTTAATACTTATTGCTATTCAGTGTTATAATATTTTCTGGACTTTCTTGTTTACTTGAAAAAAATTTTTAAACCCTCTTTCACACTTGACATGACCTTTACATTTTCATTCTGAGATAAAGCTATTTGTAAAGATGCCTGAAATTGACTGACTCATTCAATAAATCTTCATCTATCAATAGGCACTAAAGAGTATAATTTCATTACCTGGTTGAAGCTCATTCTTTCTTCCTTCTTTAGTAGATTGAACTAAACTTGCAGCTAATGGAATACAGAAAATATAATTCATTAGCAAATGATCCATGCAATGACCTGTTAAAGTTTATCATTTTCTGCCTGAAATAAGTGAGGGCTCAGAGGACATGTCAGTGAATGATTAAGGTAGAATACAAAGCATTCTTTTTTTTGTAGGTAGACTCAACAGAGTCTTTATTTCAACTCTAATCTCCCAAGATTACTTCTTCCCAGAAAATCATTGTAATAGACTAATCAAATATTGCAAAAACCCAATACTTTGCAACTCAGAAAATGTAGTTTAGTTCTTGACATGTAGCAATAAAAGAGTTCAACTTACCAAGCAAAGTTCTCTCACTGTTGACAGAGCAACTGACAACTTGAAAGTCTTTCTCAAATGTATAGAGATGCTATTAAAACAAAAGCATTTTTTAACATGGAGTTTTATATTAAATAACACTTTTATGAATACAAATTCCCATTTAGCTGTCCACCAAGTATCACTGTGTCAAAACACTTTACTAAAGACCTATCAATGAACCAGTTTATCTGGTTCTGAGACAGTTCTGATTTTTTTTTTTTAAGTTTGCTATTGTAGGTCATGTTTGACACTTAAATTTAGCCCTAAAGCAACTGAGCATAGTGGTTAAGAGCAGGCCTTAGAGCCAAACTAGACCCAGCTTTAAATCCTGACTCTGCCACTTGGCTAACTGCGTGACTCTGGACAAGTTATTCAAACCCTCTATCTTCCCATCACTAAAACAGGAATCATCATACCTATCTTATGAGATTGTCAGAAGGGTCAAGTGAGATAATCCATATGAAGGACTTATTACAATTTCTGCATCGAATATTAAGCACTCAAATGTTAGCTATTATAATTATTGATGCAAGTAAAGGTTTAATCAAGTTATATAACATGATATCATTAGCTATGTCTAAGAGATTGTCAAAAGTGCATCTCTTATAGAACTCTCACATTTTGTGCATTGGCAAAGTAATCTTCTATCTTTATTTAATCCTTATTTTTTTATTGTCTTGTTGCTGTTTGAAATGTTGCAAGATTCCATTTCTTTGAGCATTAAAGAAAATGAAAATAGTCATGCAGAAGGAGGATGTGAGGTGCAAATTGAGGAACTGATGACAATCACTTACATTAGTGAAACACTCTTTTTTAAAGATTTGTATTACAATATAGCTAACGTACAATATTATATTAGTTTCAGGTGTACATCACAGTTATTCAACAGTACCCACCTGGCAATATACATAATTATTACCATATTATTGATTGTATTCCCTATGCTAGAGGAGTGGTCACCGTAAGTCCAGCAACCATCTGACACTGTACCACACTATCACAATATTATTCATTATATTCCCCATGCTGTACATTACATCCCCATGACTTATTTGTTTTGAACCTCTTATTCCCCTTTATCTTTTTCTCCCCTTTTATAATTTTTCAATTACAGTTGACATTCAATATTATTTTATATTAATTTCAGGTATACAGCATAGTGGTTAGACATTTATATAATTGAAGAAATGATCCCCCTGACTAGTCTAGCACCCACCTGGCACTATACATAGTTATTACCATATTATTGATTATATTCTCTACACTTTACATCCCATGACTATTTTGTAACTACTAATTTGTACTTCTTAAGCCCGTCACCTTTTTCACCCTGCCCCCAACCCTCTCCCGTCTATCACCCCAATAAGTCTAGTACCCATCTGACACCATACATAGTTATTACAATATTGTTGACAACTTTCCTTACAGTATACCCTATGTCCCCATCATTACTGTGTAACAACTAATTTGTACTTCTTAATCTCTTCCCCTTTTTCACCCACCCCAACCCCCCTTCCATCTGGCAACCATCAACATGTTCTCTGTATCTATGAATCTGTTTCTGTTGTTTGTTTATTTTGTTCTTTAGATTCCACTTATAAGTGGAATCATATGACAGTTGTCTTTAGCTGTCTGAACTTACCACACTCAGCACAATACCCTCTAGGAAAACACTCTTAATTAAAGTATACTCAGAAAATAAGGAAAGATAAAGAGTCTTAGACATCAGGAGAGAAAGGACTAAGAGAAATAGTGAATAGCAGCAGTATTAAGAAGGTAATTAGTAGATACAGAGAACAAACTGATGGTTGCTAGGTAGGAAGAGGGTTGGGGGACTGGGTAGAAGGTGAAAAGATTAGGAAGTACAAATTGGTAGTCACAAAATAGGCACTGGGATGTGAAATACAGTATGGGGAATAGAATCAATAATGTTGTAAAGACTATGCAGGGTGTCAGATGTGCACTGGACTTACTGGGGGATCACTTCATAGATTATGTAAATGCCTAACCACTGCGCTGTACACCTGAAACTAATGTAAAATAATACTGAATGACAACTATAATTAAATATAGATATATATAGTCACAGGATGTAAAGTACAGCATAGGGAATATAGTCAATGGTATTATAATAACGATGCATGATGTCAGATGGGTAGTAGTCTTGGTGGGTTATCACTTTGTGAGGGGTATAAATGACTAATCATTATGTTGTTTTGTACATATGAAACTAATTTTTAAAAAGAATACACTAGAATCCTATGGCCAGAAGTTGATGAAAAATGTTGGGAAGTCAGGAAAAACTTGATTAGAGAAAGTGAACTGTGAATAAGAACTAATAATAAGAAGGTTCTGAATTCACGCGAGAAATTTTGGTTTCCTTTGACACTTGCTCTAATTGAGGGAGTCTAATTTGTAAGTAAGAAGAATCATGCATATACTTAGTGTTTAGTGTTTTATTTTTTTATTATAAAATAACACATGAGCATGTGGTCTCAGTATTTAAAACATGCAAACACTCCCAGATAAAAAGTCAAAGCTCTCTATTATGCTTATCAATCCCAACTCCCTTCTAGAATGAAACATGTTGATAATTTGCTCTGTAGCCTTTTAAAATGAGTTTTTAATATATATTTATGCACATATATTGCACAGTTTTCTTCCAAATTTTTTTTAAACATAAATGGAATGTATTATCCTGGCAACTTGCTTTTTTTTCAAGTAACAATGTGTTTTGGAGAAGCTTTGTGCCAGTGTATCCTTATAGACTTCTTAATCCCTTAATATTTGTAAATTGTTTTTACACAGGCACTAATGACTCCTTCCTTTTTAACCCCAGAATTAGACAAGCCTGTCACATCATCCAATGCCTTATGTGAGTTGTTTGGGGGAAAACTAAGAAAAGCAGGCTGGGTTCTCTATACCGGGATCTTTGAAAAGTAATGAGAAACAATGTAAGTGAACGTTAAGCAGAAACAGAGCTCAGCCAGAGGTCATTATGAGACCCTAAGCTTTTGGGAGCACACAAACTTAGGGAGGGCATTGGACTTCCTACATTCCTATAGCACACTGGGCAATTGGTTTGAGCCAATTTTGTTTAAATCTCAAAGTACTAAGAGACTTCGGCTGATGTTTTGGTCCAAATGTGCTTGTACCTTTAAAAAAAAAAAAGATAATGGTGCCAAGAGAAAGTAAAAGGGAGAAGAGAAGAAAGGCAAAGAAATAAAAACTAAATTTTTTGAAAATGAAATGAGAATTTGTGTCTAGAAAAAGGCAATGGCAGAAAGAAGTAAAACTCTAAAAGCAGTAAAGTAACCAATGAATAATGTATGATTTATGGTGATTTTTTTTTACCTCATTTTGTCTGGTTTGGCAATCATATAATCCAAAGAAGACATTTCCCTTATTTTCCTAAAAAAAATTAACCAGGTGTCTAGTAAATATCATTGTTTAGCAAGTTAGCGTGTTACAAGTTTTCAAACAAACCTGCAATAATTCAATCAATATTAGCAATAAGCACTCTAAAGTTCGCATGCTCGGCATGTCAGTAAGGGACCCAACCTATTTCAGCTGGTCATTAGGGCTCAAAGAGTAAAATGATTAAGAGTGTATAGTTCAGTGACTTTAGGAGAACTTGTCTAGTACGACTAGAGCATGGCGAAGGGGCCAATCTTTTTGTACTTCCGTTTATATAAGAGAATATGTATGATGGATATTGGGAGTGGCTGGATTGAGTCCATGATATTCCTACAAGTAATATTTTTTTAACCATACAGTTCCTTAAATGCAACATACTTAAAAATACAACTTAAAATAATAATATTTTAAAAAAAAATAGGGCTGGCCCAGTGGCGCATTGGTTAAGAGCTGGCTTGGGATGCCAGAGCGCCCCGGTTCAGATCCCACATATGAGGGCCAGTGACACTGCCCTCTACAGCTAAGATGCTGAACAACAGCTCAACCTGGAGCTGGGCTGCTGAGAGTCGCCAGCGACAGCGTAGGCTGCAGCTCCTGCTGCAGTGGGTTGCCATGGGCTACCGTGTGTAGCCAGCAGCCAGCGTGAGCAGCCAGCATCCACTGTAAGCAGCTGCCCAGAAGCCGGTGACTGATCTGCCTCACCTACCTAGGAAGAACATAATGATGGTGCCAATTTGGGCCAGTGAAGCAACGTCCTCCACAACTAGACTGAAGAACAAAACGACAGCAACTTGTCTGTTCCTCTTCCCCCAATTCCCCAGTGCTGTTCCCATCCCCAATCCCCCAATAAAAATATAAAAATAATAATAATAATAATAATAATAATACAAGGATACAACTGTGCAAAGCAAACTGGCCACCTGAAATTATTCTTTTATACTTCCCCACTATAGTAAAGTTAAATTTTTTTCCTAAAATATTTAACATTGAACACACATTGTTAAATAATAATGCCTCAAAAGTCTAGCATATTTAAGTCTCAACAGATGATATAATCATATTTAATGTTTTCTCAGAAATAAAAAATTAACATATTAATTAGGTTTAAACATCTTTTACTTGATATTTTCCTATAGAAAATGGAACTGTTCATTTATTCAAAAAATTTGAGCACTCCATCAGATATTATGCAGTTTTATTTTATTTTTAAAAAAGAAGACACTTCATAAGACTAAATTTAAATCATCCTATTCAATCTCACAAAATAAAAGTCATATGTTAAGGGTTAAATGCCAACAAGTCTGATCCGTGACCCCGCAATAAGACAAGAGCATAAATTATTTAAAAAGAGAATATATATAGTTGAAATAGTAAATTTTATACTATGTATATTTTACCACAATAAAAAATGAGAATATAGGCATACCTTATAAGTATAGATTATATTTCCATTTCTTTCAACATTTAGTATACGTAAGCTCTCATAATTATTTTCAAAAACACCTGAAAAGATAATAATAGCAAGTTAATACTGAGCAGGAGATGTTTAAGAACATATTTAACAGATATAATATTAGTGAAAAGTCAAGTACAAAAGAATACGTACTGGTAATTCCATTATATAGAGTTTAAAAACAGACAAAGCTAATCTACTGCATTAAAGGTGAGGACAATAGTGACCTTCGGAAAAGAGAAAAGGAGTAATGATGGGGGGTGGAGTCTCAGGGGAGCTTCGGAGGTGCAGGTCATGGTGTATGGTTGGCGATACTGACATGCTCACTTTGCAGTAACTCACTGAGCTGCACACTCTTGTCCTGTATAGATTTCTGCATGTACGTTATACTTCCATAAATGTTAAGTATCTATTAGTTTTTCTTTATGTATTTTGAAGCTGTTATTTATTAGGGGAATAAAAATTTAGAATTGTTATAGCTTCCTGGTAGATTAACCGGTCAGGAACTCAGCAGAGCTGCCAGAGCAATACATTAAAACCACAGCTAAAAAGTCAAGTAACAGTCAAGCCTTTTAACATTTACTGTGATAGTACAAGCAAAAGGCTAAACCAGAGAAAGCACCATCTTCCCAGTCCATTTCCCCCATGGAACGGGTGAAGAGCCAGTAGCTCAGCCAAGAGGTAGGGGTCTCTCACTGACCAGGAAGCCCCCAACAAAAGGCTCCTGCAGTATTGTGGACCCGGGGTTCAGGGGAAGGAGAGGGAAAACAGCTAAGAGTGAAAAGTACCCAGTACTGAGTCAAAGTGAAGAAAAAGTATCTTCAAGGTTCCCCTCCTTTTTCTGCTAAGGTGGTTTCAGCAGAGGCTCCTGATAAGGACGCCTCCAAATGAAGGCACCTGGGCTGGGAATGCAGCTAGCTACGTATAAGATTATGGTCAGCCAGGGGGCCCCGAGTCTTCGCTACACTTTCCTTCGGAGACTGCGGGCACTGGCTACGTACCAAGTCTGGTTTGGGGAGGGCAGCTTTTGCCCCATGAGGCCTGCCAAGTAAAGCTTTTGTAACTGCATATGGTTCTGTCTGAAAAAAATCACACATAGGTTTTTAACCAGGAGCTGGACTAGTCAACCCTTTATTCATTATAATATGTCCTTTATCTTTAATAATTTTTTACTTTAAAGGTTACTTTGTCTGATACCAATATACGTAGCTATATCAGCTTTCTTTTGTTAGTGCATACATAATATAACTTTTTCTATCCTTTTATTATTAATCCTTCTGTATCCTTATATTTAAGATGTGTCTCAGATGCAGTATCCTTTAGAGTATTAGTCCATTTACATTTAATGTAATCCCTGACATATTGAGTTTATGTCAATCATATTACTATTTATTTTCAATGTGACTCAACGGTCTTACTCTTTCCTTGCCTTATTCTGGATTAATCAGAGTTTTGTTATTTCATTCTCCTACCTATTAACTTATCAGTTATATATTCTTTTGCTATTCTTTTATTAGTTACCCTAAAGATTACATGAACTTTTAACCAAATATGTTTTATATGGTGCCAAGAAATGTGAAGCAATTGAAACTCTTATACACTGTAATGGGAATTGGAAAACTAGCTGTATCTACTGAAACTGAACGTATATGGCTCAGCAATTGCACTTATACATATATCCCAACAGACATATGCACATATTTCAGCAAATGACCCATACAGTGTCTATAGCACTATGGTCATAATAGGCAAAACTGGGAACCGAAAATATCCATCAAGTGGATATCCACATAATGGACTACTGTACAACAATAAGAATGATTTCATTTGCTATCACATACAACATAAATAATTGAGCAAAAGGAGCCCAGATCCTCCCCCTCCCAAAATAGTCACAAACTACATGATTTAATTTACACACAAGTTTAAAAAATAGGTAAAATGAATCTACAGTGCTGGGTGAATGATAGCTGGAAAGGAGCATGAAGGGGACCTTGGGGGTTCTATTAATGTTCTGTTTCCTGCTCTGAGCTCTAGTTATGTGGGTGTGTTTCATTTATGATTTGTGTACTTTTCTGTATGAATGCCATATTTTGACAAAGGACATAAAAGTTCTTTACACAAAACATTTAACTTGTAAGTTAACTGACTGTCATGTTTCTTCTAAAATTTCAGGCTGTTCCTCTCAATTCTACAGTTAAAGGATTTAAACATTGGCAGGTACAACATTGATAATTATCATCATTAATTGGGGAGAAATGTTTATTGCCCCAGTTTCCCCAAAATTAAATTACTTTAACTTCACTCATTTTCCATATGTGAAAAATATTTTTAGAGGTTAAAATATTATGTTGATTATGACAAGTTCCAATATTCAGACAAAACATATGCAAAATATCCTACAACTCAGAGCAAATCTAAGTTTGTATTCCTGATTAAAATGGAAAAAAAAGATAAAAAATAAGGATAATTGGAGACCTGGACTCCTGCACTAGAGTTGGGTGTGGGAGACATTTAAAGACAAAGAGCAGGTTTCACTGAGAACTTAGGAATCACCCTGAGATCTCTCTTCCCCACTCCTCACAGGGAGAAGCTGCCTAGATCTTCTGGGGGTGAGGCAGAGAGAGAGGAAGTATATTTTATATGTGATATATACACTTTTCAATGTATATTGAGCTGCCAGACACACTTCCCAATGATTTTTTTTAAATGAGAATAATCACTTAGTCTCTTAGGAGAATAATATGATTCAAGTACCTTGCTACTATATAGTACTTTACAATTTTCAGAGTTCTCATTTCTATCTCATCCACACTGTGTAAGGTATTATGGGCCCATTGTATGATAAGGCAATTGAGTTTGAATGAAGTTAAGATACTTGGCCAATATCATACACATTGCAAAAATGACATAGACTAATCTCAAACTTTGTAAAATGTAAACAGAATGAACTAAGTTTCCTGTACCACACTTACAATGGGAAAACGAATAATTACTGAAAAATCCTCTGAAGGTAGATTTTGTAGACACATAAAGTGAATACCAGTGAGTTTCTTTTCATCCTGTACATGATTCAAAACTTCTGGAATGCAGTGTGTCAATATTTTCAGAAGTATTTTTTTTTCTTTCGATTATAAGGATGCTGGGAGAAACTTTCTCAAAAGTACTCTTAAAAGGTTTCAGCTAAGATAACAAATTCTTTTACAAGAAATCTTGCTAGGAAAATTCAATTTCCTTGCAAAAGCACATCTATTTTCAAATCACTAAAAAATCAAGAGAAAAAAATTCAACAAGTACAGATTACAATAAATGATACATGCTTATTCCATTAAATGGTAGTTCTCAACTCTGGCTGTGCATTAGAATCATCAGGAGAGTTTTTAAAAGAACATGGGTGCCCAAGCCCTACTCCAAAATACTGATTTGATTGGGCTGGGCGAGGGGTCCATTCTTTGTGTGTGTGTGTGTGTGTGTGTGTGTGTGTGTGTGTGTGTGTGTGTGTGTGTGTAAGTTCCCTGGGGGGATTTTAATGTGTAGCCAGAGTCAAGAACCACTAAACTACATATTTATAATATATATTAAACAATATTCATTAGATAGCATAACAGCTTATAATGTAACCGTGATAGACAGTTGAAAGAAATAATAGAATTAATGCCTTCATGGGTCTGTTAGGTAGTAATAACTGCAGTTTTAAATAATCCTGCAGTTATGTACATGGTTCTCATCTCAAGGACGTTTGAATTAGATAATTTGGCATTGTTGAAAATCCAGAGACCAGCGTCTCACCATGCAACATTAACCCACCAGTCCTTTCTCCCCAGATTAATTGCTCATGTTTTAGACACACCCTCTTAAGAGAACTACTCAATAACCTCTTTGCTTATTCATTCTGACTCTTCTCCCAGTCGTTCATCACTGGAAAGTCCAGAGGAGGAAGTTTAGCAATTTCAAATGAGGAAATGAAGTTTAATTTTACAGTTCAGTGTACTCAGTGCTCATGAAGAAAAAAATGTAGCATTTTCATAGATACGATACTTGCATAAGTAAATCTACTAAAGAAGAGTACTTAAACATTAAAGGTGCTGGCAAGTCATAGCTCAAGTAAAATTTAAGCTGGTTTACCAGATATTCTTGTCCATTTCAAGCTATTCTTTGCTAAGCACAAGTGATTTCATTTCATTGGAATATGCTTGCCAAATGTCTAAATTTTGTTCCCCAAAACTATGAGAAACAAATCAAATTAAAAAGTATTACTTGTCTTTCCATTGACTACACAAGGCGGGGTGTGGGGGGTGGGGGTGAAATCTCATAGCCTTATGCAAAAATTTGAACAGTTCCTAACACACAGATCAAGAGGTGCCAAAATATGATTATACCTATGACATTTCTGTTCTGTAAATAATTCACATAAATCCTCAGGCTCAACATGACCAAATATTATCATTCCTAAATTTATGAAGTAAACACTACTGTGTGGTTTCAAATTCACATTCTTAAAAAAATTGAAAAAAAACAACGATGTGGTGATTAGTTAAGAAGCAATAAAAAGGGATAAAAATGAGAAAAGGAGATTAGGAAGGTAGAGGAAAGAAAATGGCAAAGGAAGGACAGTGCTGAGAGAACAACGAAACAATGAATGAAAACAAAGTGACTAAGCCAATCCCATGACCCCCAAATAGGTCTGGGGTATTTAGGAGACAACACAAAACAAATCATTATTCAGGTCAGTCACCTGGTAGAATATATCACTTCCCTGATAAAGATGAATATATTATTTGAAAGATGAATCAATCTGGTGTATCATGCACCCAAGAGTAACCAAAGCAGGCAAGAAGATACGGACAAGAAAACATATATTCTTTCTGGTCTTAAATATACATAACATTTAAACCTTAGAAAATTTACATACCACAGATTTTTTCTTAGTTTCTTGAAGATGTGATATATCCCAACAGGGGATTAAGCATTGGCTACAAAAATTAATATATAAAATCTATTTATTGTTATTTACCAGTAATAGTTAGAATATGTGATATTTTTAAATGTGCCATTTATGAGAGTGACAAAAATTAACAATGACCCAGGAATAAATCTAGAAAAAGTGTGCAGAATTTTAATGGAGAAAATTCTAAGACATAGTAAGTCATTAAAGAGGTCTAAATAAACAGCAAGCTATACTTTATTCATAGTTGGGTAGATTTCATATTGTAAAGATGCCTATTCTCCCCAAGCTGATCTATAGATTCAACGCAATTCAAAAATCCCAACAGACTTTTTGGTGGAATCTGACAGGTTGATTCCAAAAAATATATACAAAAGCGCAAAGGGCATAGAACAGCTGAGATGCTGCTGAAGACTGAGGGGAGAAGACTTACCCTACCAGTTATCAAGAATTATCATAAAAATAGTTATTAAGATGTCTTTGTCTTAAGTTGACCAAAATGAAGAAACCAGAAAAGGAGTCCCATATGTATATGGAAACTTGATGTGTGATAGAAGTGGCTTTGCTGTCAATGTGAAAGGGCAAGCCTACTTGGCTAATGATATTAGAACAATTAGCTACTAAGATGGAAAAACAATAAAATTGTATTCCTACATATCACACACAAAAATAAATTCTGTATGTATGGAAACACAAAATGGGAACAGCAAAACTATAAAGCTTTTAGAAGTTAATATAAAAATGTCTTCGTGACTTCTGAATAGGGGAGAATTTCTTTAAACAATCCAATAAAGCACAAACCATAATGGGAGAGGTTCATAAATTAGACTACATTAAAATGAAGAACTCCTGTTTATCAAGGGCACCATCACACACACACACACACACACGCACACACACACACACACACACACACTAACAGATTGAAAGAAAAATATTTGCAACACATATGATAAATAAAGGACTAGATCATGAATATATAAAGAACCCTTAAAAATCAATATGGAAAAAAAACACAATATAAAAGTGGACAAAAGGATGAACAGGCATCTCATGGAAGAAGAAACTCAAATGGCCAATAAATATATAGAGATATTCACCTCAGACCAATGAAACAACATCTAGACCTACCATCTTGACAAAAAAATTAAAAATCTGGAAATATCAAGAGCCTCAGAGGATACAGAATACCAAAAACATTTCTATACTGTAAATGGGATATTAATCAGTATAACTACTTTGGAAAACAATTTGGCACTACCCAGGAAAAATACAGACATGCATAGCTCATGATTCAGCAATTCCACAGTTAGCTATCCTAGGGAAACTTACGCATGTGTGCACCAGGCAACACGCACAAGATTGATAAAAAGCATTGACTGTAATAGCATATCCCAGAAACCTCCCTAATGCCACCAACCAGGAAAAGGATAAGTAAAGTTGGGTTCTCTGGGAAGCACGCTGAGACAGTTTAGTATCCAGGATGTTCATTATGGAGTGCTTAGTAAGGTGGGATTAACACCCATACGAGGAAGGAGAAAGGAGCAGGACCAAGTAGGGGAGAAGTCAAGCTGCAATGCAGGCCCAGTAGCCTCAGGTGACCTCAGGGTCCTCCATCATGGAAGTTCTAGAACTGAAATGGATTGTCAGAGTTGTCCTATTTGAATCAAAATGGCCAGGCCTGTATACCCCACCTCAAAACCTAATTAGATGTGGGGCACACCCAAAAGGCCAGTTGGGCAAGGCAGACAGCCCTCTGCCAAGGCAATCCTTGAAGGGTCTGACAGCCAAAAACTATCAGCTGATCACACTCAGAGCACCTGGGACAAGTCCTTCCTTAAAAGGAGGACCTAAGCAATGCATCTCCGTCCACTATATTGTTGTATAGTCACAAAATGGAATACTATACAGTGGTGAAAAATTAATGACCTAAAGCTCCAGTAGTAAACATGGATAAGTCTCACAATAGTGAGAAGAAAAAAAGCAAAAAGAATACATGTAGTTATGCTTTCATTTACTCAAAATTCACAAACAAGCAAAATGAAATTATATATGGATTAGGGAAGACATATATGGATTAAAACTATAAATAAGATCACAGGAATGTTAAAATATAAAAGTTTAAATGATTGTTACATTTGAGGGATAGAGAGAGAAATAGGATCAGAGAGGGGACACCAGAGCCTTCAAGCCTTCAAAAGTCTTGATATTGTTCTGTTTTTAAGGTGGGTACATGGTTTTGTTTAATTATTGTTATTATTTATAGCTTATATGTATTAAAATATTCTTTTGCATAATTACTTTAATTTTTAAAAGAACAAATATTTTCTCCATTTATTTCAGGAGAAACCATTTTCCCGAAGTTCAACCCAGAACCAGGAGACGCAGTAACCAAATCTGGTCTCCTTATCCCTTACCCCTGATTGGCTAAAAGACTATCCTGAATTTCCATGGCTGACAAGAGCCCAGCTCCTGGTTATCTTGCCACCACTATGAAATCTTCCATTGTATTTGTTGATGTAAAAATATTAAGGCTTCAAATTTAGATAGCAAGTGTGCAGAGAAGAGACATTACGATGGCATAATTATTCACAATTTACATTTGAAAAGCTTAGACTTTGAAAGGAAAATCATTTGTACAAATGTGTGGAGTAATAGCTGTGCTAGAAATAAAACAGAATCCCAGATTCCCCTGCCAGTGCTACAAATTACAGAAGAAGAAGAATTATTTTTTTGAGCTACCACCCACTGGTGATTATCACTAGTAACAACTTCTTTTAGAATAACAGGGCTAATATCTTGCCAAGGTGCTCTGCAAAAGCAAAATACTACCAATATCAGAAAAAAAGCTGCTATTTCTAGTAAGCTTACTTCTGAGGACTCAAGGGTATCTATTGTTTAGTGGAATGTCAGCACACAAGTTTGTATTTCTTCAGAGATGAGTGAAAGACACAAGGAAGCCAAAATCTAACCAGCTCACACCAGCATTTCAATCACAACACACATTACTGAAACATAAGACTGTGGCATTTCACACTTCATCTAACTGCTCATTTGCAAACACCTGCCATTTAGCTGTACAAGGTGGAGGAGGTTCAGAGAAAAGGACCACTTTGTGGTGGAAAGCAGACTTGGAACTGCCTATTGTATTTTTAAAAGTTAAACCTTCAAAAACTCTTTAGATATTCAGGAGACTGTAAATTTTGCCCCTAAATGAGAAGCTTTGTTAATAATGATACTAGTCATTAGTCAAACTCACTAGTCAAAAGTAAGCCTTGAGCTACAAAAACATGATTCCTTATTTGGAGCTAACAATCAACGTGCCAAGACAAGAAGCCCTACAGATACTCTACGAAAGCCACAGGAGAGTGTGAAGATACAACGTAGGGACAGAAAACTTTCACCAGAGGTTAAACGGAAAGGAGTTGTAAATATGGGTAATTTGATAGCCCTTCCCAAAAAATGCCCGCAGCAGTCTACAGTGTTTAATTAAGCAAAACCAGAGTGGGGAGGGCAGGGGAGGGGAGAGGTGAGCGCACTGGAGTGGAGAGCTACTGTGCCCAGGTGGGATCCAGGGGTGTCACTGCTTTGGAGCTGGATGTAAGTATTGAAGATGCATCATTATTTACAGCAAACTTCTTAGAAAGAAAATAAAAAGCACCTGGGAAGTCAAAGTTCCCCTTCTTTAAAGTTTTGAATGACCAATGCTGGGAAGGTTCAAAAGTCACTTTTCACTCCATCAAAATTCAAAACAGAGGGTTTTTTGTGACGGATGAAAACCAATTTCCCCTTGAGGAAGTTGGGCAGGAAACCTGAACATCACTTTGCCTCATGCCGTCATCGCCGGCGGGCGCAGGTGGTGTGCTGTGGGGTGGTGGGATGGTGCTTCTTCGGAAAACAGTGAGTTCTCAGTTCACTGCTCATCGCCTGAGCGTGGACCCCTGCCCTCTTGCACGTCACATCGGAAGCGCCATGTCCCCTAAGTCACCGGCACTGTTCACCGATGCAGAAACATGTCTCACATATGTGAGGACAAACTGTGCAACTGTTAAGTATTTGTACAATTTTCTTGGTGGCCATGAGTCATCTTTTCTTTCTCATAACGCAGGAACGCCCAGGCGCCCCTAGTCTTGGCATAGCCTATACTAGGGTGATGTACCTTCCCAGACAGGTGAGATGTGAATGCAGCCTAGAGAACGACCCTCTCCCACGCCCCGCAGCCTTGGGTCGGCGGAACGGAGTCTCCGCAGCTGCTTCTCCACGCCCTCCTCGATGAGATGATGCTGAGGGTACCACTAGTGCCCGCGCCTTTCTGCTAAAGATGAATTGCTGCGGGGAACAAGTAAGCCAGAGGCTGGAGGACTCGCTACCAGCAGCAGTGCAGTCCAGCCGCTACCTTGTCCAGGAGCTGCCCCTCCCTGCTTTCACTCACTGGCCTGGGGTGAGGGTGGCACAGCCCGGACTCCTAAGAGGGAAGCTCATGTCTTCGTCACCAACCTTCACAGGTTGGCAGGGCACACAGGCTGCCCCCGATCCTGTCTAGTCGACTCAGACTCCCACCCACGCCGGCCCCCACCAGCTTCCCGCCACCCCTGACGCGCGCCGCCAGCACCTGCGCAGCCACCTCGGGCCCCAGCGCCCGCTGACGCCGCCCGCTGCGCCCGCAGCCACGGGAGCACGTCCTTCCGGAGATCGAAGTCGGCGACCAGACGGAGAGCCATGGCCCGGACGTGGCCACGGGGCGGCTCTGGGGCCCCGCGCCGCGGGCATTCCTAGCCAGCGCTCGCACCTCGCCCCTCTCCCCTGCGCCCGCCCCCTCCTTCCTCTCCCCGCCTCCCGGCACCGGCCGCTTTCGGTTCTGCTGAGTTGGGGCCTGAGAAGCCCCAGGCACCGCCTCCCAGCCCGCCCCGAGCACCGGAGCCGTCCGCTGGGCAATCTGGGCTGGAAGTGGAACGGAGCGCGGGGACCCGGCCCACCCAGGCCCGGAACCCACAGTGTGTACCCTCCAGGCGGGGGACAGAGAGGGCGGGAGGATTTGGATTTCTAAGGGCTCTGGAGGAGCTGTGGCTAGACCAAAGGTTTCCAGACTGTGCTACACATTAGATGTGAGCATTGGGCGTTTTTCTTTTCTTTTTTTCTTTCTTTTTTCAATCCCCAGGTGATTCCACTATGCAGCAAAGTTTGGAACCCACTTGGCTAGAGTTATGACTAGCTGGGTCATCTGAGAAGGTTCAAGGTCATCGCAGGGGCAGAAGCAGGAGGCATTTTGGGGCCTATTCGACTCAGTTTCAAGGGTGGTAGTGCTTTATCGGTAGTATTTAGGTAGTAAGTAGCAGCAGGGAGCCTGTGAAGAAGGTGATTCTATTTTAAGCTACTGGAGATACTGGGAAGTGTTAATCAGTTTAAACACAGACTGGTCCTCGGTCTGTTTAAGGGCTTCCCAACATTGGCTTCAGTGAAGCTGAATTTAGGATTCCCTCTGCGATTGGTCTTTTAAAAAATGCTCTCATTCTTCCAGGGGCACCTGCTTTCTTGGGCACCTCCTCACCCCCATCGCTACAAATACTTCCAGTGTTTTCTTAATCTCCTCACTCAGCTCTCTTTTCATTCCCACCTGCAGCATCAGTAAGTTTAGTGGTTGCTGTGCCTTTGGCACTGCCAGCTATGATCCATTGTGAACATCAACACCAGGTCATTACTCGCCCTAAAACAAAGCTGTCCTAATGTCTCTATGCCGAAGATCTTGAATAACAGCTGCATGCCCAGAATGAAGTGCCTCTACTTTTACCAGGCCCTTCCAGCCTCTCACGTATAACTTCAGCTCCAGGCTAACCTGACTTCCAGAACCCCTCTGATTCCACCCTCCTTCCTCTGAAAAAAATCACCAGGGCCTTCCACCCTGGATCCACAAAGCCTTCTCACAACTACAGCCCACAGTGACCTTCCCAGTCCTGAACTCCTAGAGATGTATTGCTATTACACTTCATTTGACAATCATATAGTAACTTGAGATATAAAAACTGAATCTTGAGTCTTGGCACACCCCTCTGCCCCTTTCCTCCTACCAGGGGCTAACAGAGTACCTGGAAGGTACTCAACAGTTATTGAAAAATGAATAAATACAGTAATAGGCAAAAGAACGCTTTGTCATGTGTTTCTCCAAGTTAGGGTCTGAAAACTACCTGCATTGCAGTCATCTTGGAAACTGTTTCACAATGCAGACTCCAGATTAGACCTGTGCATTCTAGCCAGAGCCTCAGGTGACTCTTAGGCTTGCTAAAGTTTAAAAACTACTCTAAATAGGGCCGGCCAAGTGGCTCAGTTGGTTAAGAGTGTGAGCTCTGAGCAACAGGGTCGCTGGTTGGACTCCCACATGAGATGGTGGACTAGGTTCCCCCCCCACCCCCCTCAACTAAATTGAAAGCTAGGAGCTGAGCTGCGCCCTCCACAATGAAGATTGAAGGACAACAACTTGACTTGGAGCTGATGGGTCCTGGAAAAACACAATGTTCCCCATCCCCAATTCCCCAATAAAAATTTTTTTAAAACTACTCTCAATAAAAGTAAACGAAACTCTTGATTTTGCCCTAGAGCAGTGGTTCTCAACCTTTCACAGGGGTCGCCTAAGACCATCGGAAAACACATATTATCAATAGTCTTAGGAAGCGAGACACCGCTCCTCTATCCATCTCCAGGCCCACATGCAGATACGCCCACATACGAGTACCCAGCAACCCCTGTGAAAGGGTCCTTCAACCCCCAAAGGGTTCGCAACCCACAGGTTGAGAACCGCTGCCCTAGAGACATGTTTCTCCAATTGAGGTAGTGGATGATTTCAAGGAGAACTCCACTACTGACCACCACATAAGAAAATCCTCCCACCTCTAAAGTGCATGAAGATTGAACAAATGCTTAATGAGGTTGCTAATATCGTTAGTGCATAAAAGGGAGGCCACTGAAGCCATGAGGAACTACTACAATGAATGTTTCATACCAAATGAAGTTTGTCATATAGAAACATCTTCACTTGCTTATTTAAAAATTCTGTTATTTTCACAGTTAACCTCTATTTTGCCAAGCAAGACTGATTTTATAGTCCCCATCAAGCAGTGATTTTATATAAAAATTCTCTTCAAAATAAGTTTAAGTATAAAAGAACATAGAGAGGGTGAGAAATAATAATCAAGATGGCAGGAAGATGTGGTCAAACCATGAAGGAAGTGTATGAATGATGGAGCTTAGAGATTATTCGCTAAGGGAAAAGATGGGTGAATGGTGACTTACTGGTTTAAAATTTGTGAAGAGTTAATAGAAGAAGAATGCTGATGGATTATCCTTCAACTCTAGAGAAGACAGAACTAGATACTGTCACATGTTCTTTATTTAAAAAGCTGCTTCATTGATGGATGTGTTAACTTCACTGTGGTAATTATTTCACAGTGTATATACCAGGGGTGCCAAAAAAATGTATACAAGTGGACACTTTGCTCAACGTGACTCAAGCAGTAGTTCGCCATAATCAGAAATGTCTGGATGCTGATGGTAACCACTTCCAGCACCTCTCGTAATTGCAGAAGTCACACGTGATTTGTATTCCCCTTTTGTTATGAGTATATATTGAGTATTACAATTTTAATAGTTTTCCTTTCTTAAAATTTCTATACATTTTTTGGCACCCTCTGTATATAACAAATCATCACATTGTACATTTTAAATACATACAATTTTATTTATCAATTATACCTCAGTAAAGCTGGAAAAAGAAAAGCTGCTTCGTAGAATCATTAAGTACTAGAACTGGCTTTTGGATAGAAGTATTTCTGCTTCTTGGAGATTTTAAGAATAAACCATCATCTTCATTAAAGTCAGAGCATAGCATAGAGTTGGAGGCTTAAAGATCTTATAATCAAAGACTTTATTTCATAGACGAGGACACTAAGACTCCAAAACGTGAAATGAGTGTTGGCCTAAAGTAACAAAGCTAGTTAACCATAAAGTTGGGATTATAATTCAATCAAGTCTCCTGCTACTGGTGTTTGTGTCGATTATGTCCAGTGAACTGAATTAGAGGACTCTTTAAATTACCTTACAGTCTGCGGATTTCTAGTTATTCAAATACCACACCCTGATAGAGGTAGAATTCTGAGACCACAGCAAGAAATCACATAGCTTGGATCACATGGTTTCCTCAGCACAGCTTAGGTTCTTTGTAATTTCACCTTGAGTTTTATTTAGAGTTGAAGGAAACCAAAGGATTGGAAATGTGGGCTGAGTGAATCATTTGTAAATAAAAATAATTTATTTAGCAGAGGTGTTAAAATGGAAAGTTCTACTCCACTCTCCTGGAAGTGGGAAACTATACAATTTGATTTTGAAGGAGTTAGAAAATGGCCTATTTAATACATTTAATCCAAAAGTCTACAACTAAATGATATCTAAGGACATGACTAAAGATACAAGTTTTGAAATTTGCATTCAGTGGAATATAATTGTGCTAAAAGAACATTTTTATTAAAAAAACTCATGGGGGGCAGTTGGTTAGCTCAAGTGGTTAGAACACAGGCTCATAACATCAGGGTTGCCAGTTCCATCTCCACATGGTCCAAGGAGTTGCGTCCTCCATAACTAGGTTGGAACAACTATTTGCCTTGGAGCTAATGGGTCCTGGAAAAACACACTATTCCCCAATAAACTTTCCTTAAAAAAACAAAAACAAAAAAACCTCACGTGTGTTGAAATTGAGGAGAAGCAAATTAACTAAAAAAAACAAAACTTCAATTTTGGAGGCTGATCCTTTGATAACACAGCTGAGAAATTTTTCATGAAAATTTTAATAGAGGTTATCAGAAAACCCATTAGGATCTCAATGGTACATAAGTAAGGTTCCTCTGCACTTTCCAAGACATTATTATAATTTATTTTAAGTTTTGTATGTAAGATGCTAAAGTATTTACAATGAGGTGGCTTCTTATGTAGATACTGAGAATGCTGCTTCCCTATAGTAACCTATTTTCAGTAGATATATTTAGTATGTTTTTAGGTAAATAAATACCTCATTCAGCAATCATTATGATTCCCCCAAACCCATATGTCCCCAGTCAGGTGATAACATTTCCTCCTGCCAGTGATTGATTTGGAGTGGGCACGTGCATCACTCAGGATTAGGTTTCACCCGAAGTTAATGAAAACCCAAATTAACACCGAATTGAACACAAGGTTTTATTTTCTCACATATCTGGAGGTAAGCAGTTCAGTGCTTATAAGGTCAGGTCCTGGAGTCATCAGGGGCCCAGGCTTCTTTCAGCTTTTCATTCCACCAGCTCTTTGAGTATGTCCTTGTTGTCCTCATGGTGCAGGATGACTGTGAAAGCTTCAACCATCTTGTCTGCATTCCAGAAATCAGAATGGAAGAAGAGAGACTAAAGAGGATGCTGCCTCCCTTTTAAAGATATTTCCCAGAAGTTCTACATACATTTTTACTTAAATTTCATTGACTACAACTTAGTCGCATGGCTAAATATAGATGTATTATAAAAGAAGCAAGAAAAGGCAGTCTTTTAGTTGGCTAGCCAGATGCCCAGATAAAAATCAGGATAATATTACTATAATAAGTGGGGAGAATGGATATTCAGACGCAACTAGGGGTCTCCAACATGGCATAAAACCCAATTCTGACAACAATGGGTTGAAAGGAACCTCTGCTATGGAATATGTGAGAAAGATTGCTCTATTTCTAAGAAAGGAGACATGGAAAAAGAAGGTCCTTTCAGTCTTTATATATTTCAGGGCCTGGATATGATGATTCCTGGAACTCCACCAGTCTTGCTACCAGTCTGAAGATGGAGGCAACAGATGGAGCTGGGCAGAACCCAGAGAACTGCAGAGAAAGGGAGCCTAGCACGTCATTCTTGGCACCAGCCCTACCTCTGGCTGTTCCGATATTAGAGATAACAAACTTCCCTATTGTTTAAACAAGACTGAGTCAGAGTTATATTTTATTTGCAGCCAAGGATCTCAATTTGAAGGGGCTATCATTTCAAAATTTTGGTAACTTCCACCAAAGAGTGCGATGATCATAATAGGTTTTGAACATTTATTAGGACACATTGTTCTATATTTTTGTATTGTTCTTATTAACGTAAAGTGAAATAATGTTAAGGTAGTAGGGGGGGAGGGGCGGGGAGCCCAGATGAGCCAAGTGTTAGTTCCAGAACCTTGATAACTTAAGACCCTCTGGATTAGATCACACTTGAAACTCATTTTATCAGCAGACTTTTCAGTTACAAGAGCCAATAAATTTCTTTTATTGTATAAGCCAGTTTAAATTGGATTTTCAGTTATTTCTGTTAAAAGCACCTCAAAGGCAGGATTCTCAGACTTTAATGAACATACAAATCACCTGAGGATCTTGTTAAACTGTAGATTCTGATTCAGCAGCCATGGTCTACATGTTCACCAGCTCCTAAGTGATGCTGCTGCTGGTCCATCAATGACACTTTGAAGAGCAAATTCTGCTATTGAATACAAGGCTTTTCTGCCTGTGCATTGCTACCTGACTTTGACCACAGAGAAGGCCAGGTGGGGATGGGCTCGGAGGGGTTAGCAGTGGAGACACCCCAGAGCTGAAGGCCCAGGTTCACAGAGAAGTCTAAAATGGGGGTGAGTCCTGATTCCATGAGTTAGAACCAGGCCGTGGGGGCACAGTTCTGCTAGCAGACCACAGAAAACCAAGAACTGAAGAGAGGAGATTTTAGAAAAAGGAAAAGACCCTTAGCCCAGCCCTTCCAGAAAGCAGAGCCTGGGCAAAGGTGACAGTGCTGACACTTTATAGGAGAGAAGCAAACACAAGGCGAGAAAAGAGGTGAAGCAAGGAAGTGAATCAGAATCTGCATTTTCACAAGATCCCTGGATGACTCACGTGCACACGGAAGTTTGACAAGCACCATTCTAGCTACTGTATGCTTTAAGTAAGAGTTGTTTTTCTTTGAGACTGAGTTATTGAGCTTCAAGCCCATGTTGATTTGTGTAGAGCAGAGGCCTCACTCCAAGAGGCAAGAGGTAAGGGGGTAGGAGTACAAAATTCCTCCAAGAAAAAGGAACCCTCATACACTGCTGTGGGAATGCAGATTGGCACAGCTGCGATGGAAGGCAGTGTGGAGGT